AATTTTCAAGCAAAGAAATCCAATGTAGCTACTCAATGAAATCTTTGAGAAGAAAGTTGAACGCATTTTTAAACACATTTGCATCATACATCGGATTTTCAACACTATTCCTGAGTCAGTTGCTGAGGGTAAACGATCATTAGTAAACTAAAAAATGTTAAAAATTCTCTCCGTTCAACCTTGGTCTAGGATCGCATTTTTGATACTTGATTATTTCGATTAAAGAAGGTTTGGCTAAAAAGGTGAGCGAGAACAATGTCATCGATGTTTGGGCTGCCAAGAAAAGCTCAAAAATTCATTTTAAAAAGTCTTATCAACCTTTATTGAAGATTTTGTTAATTGATTTTTTGTTTATTAGTTTTGAAACAAATGTTTTGATTTATAAGTCAGCATTGATTAATGACCCGTTTTTTCAATACACAAAGTTAATAGTAAAGAAGAAATACAGTGTACTGTATCGGAAATAAATAATTGCTACGTTCACAAAACTTTAAATTTTATAATCTGTTGTTTTGAAATAAGACGCCGTTATCCATTTTTGGCCCGGGCGACATTCGCGCTCTCAAAGGCCCTGAACAATACTATTATACTAATATTAATATATTAAATAATACTTTTTTTGCCAAGCAAAAAAAAAATGTGTACCATATAAAGAATACACGTTTTTTTTTTTATTATAATTATCTACACTAATAAAATTATTTGAAAAAAGTCGCCTAACAATATTTAAATAAACTTTAATGAAAAGAAAACTTACTTATCATGTAAAACTTTCGTAGGTCCACGCGCAATTTTAATGTTAGGAGAATTAGCAAACAAATTATTATTATTTTTTGTTTTATAACGTCTTATTAAAATCGTAAAATATATTATTTTTTATTTTTTAATAATTTTTGTTATGCATTATAAATAAAAATGTGTGAATAACTAAAAAATAATTTTAATAATATTTTTATTAAAATTTTTACATAAATAAAAAATTGTGTTTGCTAAATTCTCAAAATAATAAATTCGCAAGATAATATTCTATTAAATAGAAATTGATTAAAACCACCTTCTTTACCTTAAAGTTGATTTGAAAGGCTGAAGTTTTCACTAATACATAATGATAACAATTGAACCTTTTCACATTTTGATTTTCAAAAAAAAAAATTTTTTTAGACACCCTAGTGCACAGGAATAACTTAAAGTGAGGCAAAAATCCATTTTTTTGAAAATATTTATTCAAAATTGCTGAAAATTTGCTCTATGATGTAAAAAAGGTAGACAACGAAAGAAAACTATAAATCTTTAAAAAAGAATCAAATATAGTTAGATGGGTGGGTGGGTGGGGTGTGAAGGGTAGGGTTGGGACGGTTGTCAGAATTTTTTTTTTTGTAAAAAAAAATGTAATCAAAAAAGAAATTTTGAACTAATTCATTTCTATCGATCTAAATTCTGTCAACCCCCCCCCCCCCCAAAAAAAAAAAAAAAAAAAACAAACGAAAAAGTTTAATTGAACATAGATATTTTATAATAAGTAGATTAGTTAAACTTCATTTTTGTGTTGTTCTTTTTTATAGTTATCACTGCTAATATTGAATTTACTTATCTAAAACACTTCGTTGTTAATCAGATATAATATTGATATGTAAGGTGTGTTGGTTTTTTTTAATCCACTAGGTCCTGGCATTTAAAAATTGTTCGCAGTATTATTAACCAATTCTTGTAATTAAATTTTGTTACTTAAATGTCCATAACTTTTTTGTAGAATTGTTATTATATTAAGAAATATTTACTATTATAATACTAATTTTAACCTCTTTTCAATAATATGTAATAATCAATTATAAAAATAGTTTGATATTTTTACACGCTTACATATTAAATTTATTCAATTTAATACAACAATATCTAGTTACTGTGATTTATGCGTATGAAACAATGTATTATGAAGCGTCGTATTGAATAATATATATTGTGATTTATGCATATTTTAAAGAGTTTCAAATGCGGGTTTGATACTCTGTAAATGTCGTATTGCATACTCATTTTTAAACGCATCTGAAGCGTATTACTAAAGCTTGTTTGACACGATAAAATGGCTAACATACATACCATAAAGACGCGTATTCAAACAAGTTTCTAATGCGCATTTACAACTCAATGTGCCGGCTTGATTAGTTATTTTATTATTATACATCAGTTATTACTTAGTTATTATACATCAATTATTACATAGTTTATTATTACATAGTTATTATACATAATTATACTTAGTTATTATACATACTTAGTTATTATACATCAAACTGTTTTAAATATAGTTTTGTATAAAAGTCATACTCCTCAAAAAATTTTAAAGATTACAAAAATTGATATAAATAGATATAGCTCAAAGAACTTATTGAAAATGATATTTTCATTCCAATCTGAATTCAAGACATTGTTTAACTTTAATGGGAATGTCAGTTATTCAGATGCCTCTTTTCGGCGCACATATGCTAGTTCACACGTAAGCCAATTTATGCCAAAAAGTATTTGGACGAATACCAAATAGTCGGTGACTATTTGGTATTTTTTTTACTGTTTGGTATTCAGCCGAATACCAGATTGTAAGGAAAAAGAAACCATGCTACTGGCGATTAATAAGAGTAATTTAGCAAGTTCTATAAAGACGATGTTTTGCGTTTTCAGACCACATCTACTAAGGGTTTGGTTTTTTTGTTTTTTTTTCAAACATTTTAAGTGTAATTTATTTTGCCGTTAAAGAATGTTTACATTGCATATACATATGTCAAAATTAATGGCAGGAGCAAGAAGAAGGCACATTTTGCCTTATTGCCGAGCCCCACATAAAAAAAAAAAAAAACTCTACATAAAAAAAAACTCTACATAACCGTAACATACAAATGTTACATACAATGTTAATATAAATATATAAAATATAGGTCAGAATTAAAACAGAAAATAACTGAGAAAATTAAGAAATTCAAAATAGCAAATATCTAAGAATTGTCGAAATGCTAGCAACTTCTAAAATGTTTTAAAATCATTTAAACAAAAAGTTTTAAATAAGAATAAAATTTTATAATTAACATTATCACAAGATGAATTTTTAACATCATTACTTAAATTTGATTGATATAAATAAATTTGTTTTTATTTGATTAAATTTTAAAAGAAACATTTGAAGTCAGATAAATTAAGATCCCTGAATAGTAATAATTGTTTTGATTCATTTTTAAATTGTTCTAATGTAGTCTTGTTTTTGTTGACAATCTCTGGTATTTAATTGAATAGAAGGTTAATTTTAAATTATACTTGAGAAGAACAAAGTTGTTATCAGAGAACTTTGTTGAATATTTATGATTAATTTTATTAAAATAGGTTTGAAAAATTATTGGGGACAATCCCATTTTTGTTTTAAACATAAACAATAAAACTTGGTGTAAATTGAGTTTATACACATTTCTGATTTAAGCAAACAGTTTTATTTAAAAACTAATTTCATTTGAAATTTGACTTTTCTTTCTGACACCTTCATTTTTCTGATCAAGGTTTAGTCGCTTTTATTTACTTTTTTTTTTCTAAAAAAGTGGAGATGAATCATTTCCGGCCGAATATTTAATAGTAAGTTTGGTATTATGTGTGTGTGTGTATTTATATATATATATATATATATATATATATATATATATATATATATATATATATATATATATATATATATGTATATATATATATATATATATATATATATATATATATATATATATATATATATATATATATATATATATATATATATATATATATATATATATATATATATATATATATATATATATATATATATATATATATATATATATATATATATATATATATATATATGTATATACATTTAGTTTGGAAAGAATTTCTTCCAATCTTTAGTAAAAAACAAAACTTCGTTTTAAACTGCACTTTGCAAAGTTTTAATCACTTAAAAATAAATTAAATCTTTAACACTTTCTTTAGCTTTTATTAAAATGGTTTCAAACCATTAGTATAAAAGATAACGAAAATAAAATTGTTTTTTTCGTTCATATTTTTTATGATATTAAATAATCAGCCTAAATACTTATGTTTACATATATTGCTTTTTTTTTTTTTTTTTTTTCTCAATTAAACAACACATTTTTTTGTGTGTTTTTATAACTTTCATGACTTTTTGTCGTTTTTACTTTTTTATTTTTAAAATTATTCTGCTGGAAGATTGTTAGCAACAAATTATTTTATTGCTGAAGTTTTTGATTTGTTTTTGTTTTGTATTTATACTGTCTTTTTGTCTTTTATCATTTATTGTGCATGTAAATTTTTGTGTGACGGGGCTCGGTGATAAGACAATCTGTCTTCTTCTTGCTCCGGCCAGGATTTTCTTTTTATTGTAATTTCTTTTTTGTAATATTTATCAACGGCAAATTAAATAAATAATAAAAAAATAAATAAAAATAAAATAAATATATATATATATATATATATATATATATATATATATATATATATATATATATATATATATATATATATATATATATATATATATATATATAATACTTTTATTTGAAGAAAAGTGCTCAATGTTAACGAAACTTAATATTGTAATATGTAACTTTCAAAGCAATGTGATTTTGTATAAAAACGAAAAAGAAAAAAAGTGTCTGATAGAACAAGAATTAAAATTTTACTTCTAATTTATTTTTACAATTTTATGTAGAGATCAAAGAGTGAAGAAATTCTAAAAACATTAATGTGTAGTAAATATATAATAAATCTAAACACAAACACATTTTCCTTATATTTTATAAAATTAGACTCTTAAAAAAAAAGTTTGAAATTTCTAACTTAAGTTAGGATGCGTAACTTTTAGTAAGGTATAATTTTCTGCTTATTAAGGTCGAAAACTATATTAAAAACAATGACTTGTCATACAATTTTCTTTCTTAAGTGAGTATCAAATATCTTATATTAAATACCTTTTTAATGCGTACTTTCTTTTTTTACTGTAAATAATGATTTATTATCCTGATCTAACTTTTACATAGATGTTTCGCGAAGATGAACCCTGAAAAAAAAATTAAAAAAACTTTTTTTTTTAAACATCTTCACTTCCAACAAGGCTGTAAGCAACCACTATTAAAGTTGGAAGTTACTGGAAGAGAAAAAATAAAATCTATTGTAAGTTATATGAATCAGGAAAACAGAATGAAAGGATCAAATTCCAAAGAACTAACGGTGGAGGGATAAAAATAGACGAAAAAGTATTTTTAAAGCACTTAGGAACAGTCACAGTAGATAAGACTTAAGTGAATGACAAGTAACACGATAATAAATTTTAGTAGATGGTTCAAGAGGCGCTAGCTCTTTAGAGCAGCGCCTCTTAAGTAGCGCCTCTTACCAACTGTACCCAATACAGTATTTATTAAAAAGAGAAAGAAAAGTAACGTTAAAACGATGTGACAATGGTTGACTGCAAGAGCAGGTTTACAATGCCCTTTTACTTGGTAAAAAACAGTATGTCCGACTGCAAAAAGTTTTGAGCAGCAAAAATGAACTGGGGCTGTTTGATTGGATAAAGTAATAATAGACAAAATATGTTTCGTTAATATTTATTATTTTATTATAACTATTATAATATATTAATAGCATTAATATATGAGTCCATATCCAAAAAGTCCAAATTAATCGATTTTGAAAAAAACGACGAAAAACTTCTCAAAGTTGTGCACAAACAATAAAATTTTTTTTGCTAACGCTCCCTTAACGGAGCGTTAACAAAAAATTTCTTTTTAACTACATTAATAAAAAAGTTCTTTAAAAATATAAATTAAAAATTTTTTATTTTATTTTAGTATTAATTTTATTTTAAAAAATTTAAATAAGATTTTTGTCATTTCTTTACTTAGATATATTGTAATGAAATTTCAGACAAAAGCTCCGTTAAGCTTAACGGAGAGATGAGAATACGGCTGCAGATCATCAAAACAATCAAACTCAGTTACTAAACTCAGAGTATATGCAAAGTCAAAAACAAATTGCTGCTGACTGAGTTTTTCCGTATATTTAAACGGAAAAATTGAAATACGGAAACCTTGAAATTTACGGAGAAAATGCTGTCTCTTTACTGCTTTTAGACCATTTTTTTTTTAAGTTGATTAAGGTGCCCCAAGAAGTCCTTACGGTCTTATCACAGAGCACCATTAAAAAATATAGACACGGTTTTAGCTAAATAATGCTTACATCTGAAAAGTGAAACCAAAACAAAAAGTTGGCGCAGGAGGTCAGTTAGTGGCAAACTTTTTTCGATCATAAATTTCCTAATCCATTTACATGATATTTTCTGATTATCTTCAACTATATATAACTTATAACTTCACAGAAAGATATAAAACTAGTGCCGATATAACATTTCAAAGGTAAGAATTTGTTTAAAATAATAGATAGTTTATTATGACTGCTATGTAACATAGAAGTTAAAAATTATATGTTGAAAGATAAATAGCTTATCATATTTGAACATAGTATAATTATCATAAGTTATATCTCTTCCAACATAATAATAATTTCTGTTGTCCACTATTATCATTATAAATGACTCAGTGGTATTTTTGTTTTAGATTTCTGGAATTTAGGCAAATATTGATAAAAAGTAGTATATGTTTATAACATTGTTATGGTTTATGTTGATACATGTTTAAAAAATTATATATAAATATTATTTCTTGTTTTAAACATAAATGTTAATATTTATTAAGTAAAAATAAATTACAATCAATTAAACTTTTAATAAGAAAGTAAGTTTTTTTTTTTAAGTCGATAGAGATACCATATAAATGCTATATAGCTAGGCACGTCAAATCCCACGTTTTACGAACCGAACCGATTTTTGTGCTAAAATTCTGTTCCACGTTTTTAGAACTTTGTTCTTTGGCAGTATGGTGGGATGGTGTCTTGTAGCATATTTTTTCAAAATTTTATATTAACTTAGATGTTTATTTTAAAGTAGAATAATCAAACGTTTTTCAAGAGTTTTTTTTTATAATATTGACAAACTCTAAAGAGTCATTTATTGATATCAAAAACTGTGTTGCACTTCTTGTTGAAGATATGATCTTTTTTTTTTCTACTCAATTCTTTTTTTTAAGTTTATACATTTTCTATCAACATGACAAAATTCAAAAAGTTTTTTTGACTAGCAGACACTATTCTTACCCACCTAAACTTTGTTTTTCCGACTTCGGTTGCGGAGAGGAGAGGGCAAAGAAGAGAACGCCATTGGATGTTTAATATTTGTTCTTATAAGCCAATAATAATTATTGTAAAAAGGTTGATTTGATTTTTCTATATAATGATTTTGTAATAAAAAACTAATATTGCGTTTATTAAATAAATCTTTATAATATATAATAATATAAATAATATTATATTATAGCATATTATAGCATAGTTTAGTACTTGGTGCATAAAACTTCCTAGAAAGATATAAAACTATGCTACATAGAATGTTATTCCTGCACCAGTTTTATATCTTTCTGAGACGTTAAATGCACTGAAAGAATACAAAATAGTATTCTATATAGCAAAGTATAGGTTTTTACATCAAAATTATTATGTTTACAGCATTGATATATGTTGATTTTTAACAAACAGCCAAAATATTATTTTTATATATGAAGTATATTTTATGTTACAGATTTCCAAAAGATTTATTGTTACAAATTAAAGGTTTGCTGTCATGCATAGAGGAAACTTTAATCCAATAAAGAGTTTAAAAATTTTATTTTAAGCATTTTACGCCAGATTTATATGTTTTTAGCAGTTGGAGTTTAAAAAAGAAACTCATAAAGGAGCTATGTCAAGCATTTTTAATTTTTTAAGTAGTTTAGTGAAGCAAATTATACCTAAAAAACCTCCAGCACATGAAAAAATCACAAGTAAAAATAAAAGCCAAAATCAAAGCAATAGATGATGCTATTTCTTTTGAAACTTTTAACTCTCTTCTTAACTACTTTCTTTAGATGGAGCTAAATCATCCTTAAAGAATTTGCAAAAATACCTTGAAATTGATTTATTAATTACTCTACTTGTACATACTTTCTACATCTAGTTACAAAAAAAAAATCAATTTATATTTTCATGGATCCTCCGCGTATGTTAAAACTGATAAGAAATACATTAGATTTGCACAAAATAATTTTATAAATTATGATAAAGATAAAAGGAGAATATATTAAAAACTAGTATTCAAGAAAAGGAAAATTTTGCAACAAAAATTACAAAGAGACATGAATTAGTTTTGAAAAAAGAAAGTCAAGTTAGCTGCTTAGACATTCAGTCAATAGTTGCAAACAATAAAAAATTTACAAGAAGGTCAGTACTCTATGGATTTTGGAAACAGCAAAACCAGATTTGTTTTTGTTATTAAAAACATTTTTGATATTTTTTTGACAACTTGACATAACAGAAATTTGTTAGCTAAGAATTTCAAATATTTTAGTTTTAATTCTAGTTTACAACATTATAATAGAGGAACTCAACATTATAATAGAGAAACTCAACATTATAATAGAGAAACTCAGCATTATAATAGAGAATCTCAGCATTATAATAGAGAAACTCAACATTATAATAGAGGAACTCAACATTATAATAGAGAAACTCAACATTATAATAGAGAATCTCAGCATTATAATAGAGAAACTCAACATTATAATAGAGAAACTCAATATTATAATAGAGAAACTCAACATTGTAATAGAGAAACTCAACATTATAATAGAAATATTCAACATTATAATAGAGAAACTCAATATTATAATAAAGAAACTAAACATTGTAATAGAGAAACTCAACATTATAATAGAGAAACTCAACATTGTAATAGAGAAACTTAACCTTATAATAAAAAAACTAACTTCCAAAAAAAAAATCGACTCATTTAAGTCAGAGTAAAATAAGTTTTATTGGGATGATTATAGGCCTGAAATTTTATACATGCGTATAGAATTATTAAGAATATAGAATTTTTATATAAGAACATAGAATTATTATTTTAAAAATGGCGATGATAATCATTGGTATATTTAACTTATCTCACCTTGAAAAATTGTTTTCATTGCTATAAAAAGTCACAAAGGGAATAATAATAATTCTTCTGCAAAAAGTTTCTAGCTGCCAACAAAAAATTGTTGAAGCATACAAGTTTTTCAGGTTCTTCTCAAGCATACAAGTTTTTCAGGTTCTTCTCAGGTCAATAGACTAAGTACCATCAATATTTTCAGAAAAGAGTTTTTCAAAAAATATATAACATAAAAACAATTGATCATTAACTTATTAATGATTTTGATATGGAAAAAAAATTGTGATCACCACGAATATGCAGTAAATAATACAAGTCATTCAAAAAGTTTATCATTATATGCGTGTGATATTGTTGAATATATTACTGGGTTTGGTGTAAAAAAATTTAAAAAAGGTTTTAGATACATTTGCTTAACCTTAATTTAATCACAGATCCAACTTCAACATTGATTTTTAAAAAACTAGAGTGGTATTAAACCATACTTGGTTCAACCCTGGAAAGAAGTTGTTCACATATGTTAAGTTGCAGAAAGCGAAATCAAAATTTTGAAGGTAGAGAAGAGGTTTTTTTTTCAAAACCAAATGACGAGATTAACTATCGATATTCTAATCAGCGTTTGAATCTCGTTTGCATTTTTATTGATAACAGAGAACATATGTTTATTAATGATGTTCAATCTAAACATTTGTCAAACAAATTTAGTCGAAATGATTAGCTTTTATTATTGTAAACTTAGATTATATCACCAAAGCGAGAACTTAAATAAATATTGAAAAAAACTTTGAAGTAAATTAACAAAAAGTATTTTATTCTGTGGTCAATAAATATATGTATGTAAAATTTATTGTTATTTTTACCGTCTATTCAAATTGAGTGTTTTTAATTAATTAAAGTAAAAAAACTTATAGCTTTACAAAATAGCTTTATAGAAACAACTTAGAAATGCTTTAACAGAAAATACCTCCAAAAATATATTTATTTTTTTTATAAGAAGAAATTTCCTTAACATTTTATACTAAAATCCGACATTATTTGCT